ACATAGGAAGGAGCCCACAATAATACTACTTACCCCTTGTTTGGTCCTCATTATTTTTGAAATACATTTTTTCTCTTATTTTCTATTACATATTTTTCAATAAAATAATATTACACGTGAATTCAAAATTTTTTCTTATTTTTTAATTTCACATTCTCCATCAAAAAACTATTCCAAAATAAATTATGGGCAAAAAAATAGAACTCGAACGGGTCTATCAAATACATGAATGAGTAAGTTAAGATATTTTAATCTAATGGTGTATGTTAGCTACATCTGTTTCTGTTTGGTTTCACTAAAAATCAAATTTTTAATAAATTTTAGTAAAAAATGATGAAATATACGGTTCAAAAATTGAAAAAATCATAGGTTTAGTAAAATGTATGATTAAAAATATATTCAAATAATGAATTTTTTAAAAAAATGAGACTCATACAATGGCCTAAAATCATAATCAATCCAATTATTCTATTTTTCCATGGCAATTGTTTCGCGCGGATTATCGAGTCTCGCTAACAATTAAAAGATGGTTTAGATGATTGTGTAAGAAACAAACCTTTCGAGACAAAATCCCAACGAGAGGTGCTTTATTTATGAAAATTACAATTAGGAAGAAGCAAATCGCCTCAAAGGGGCATAAGTACATAGAGTAATATGAAAGTTGACAATAAGAACTAAACGANCGCGGATTATCGAGCTTCGCTAACAATTAAAAGATGGTTCAGACGATTGTGTAAGGAACAAACCTCTCGAGACAAAGTCCCAACGATGGGTGCTTTATTTATGAAGATTACAATCAGGAAGAAGCAAAACGCCTCCAATGGGCACAAGCACACAAAGTAATTTGAAAGTTGATGATAAGAACTAAACGAAATGAAATTACATAATTTTCAGTTTGAGAGTGATTGATTCGGAGTCTTCCCTTCTATGTCTTATTTTTTCTTTTATACTCATTTGCCAGTTTTCCTTATAAAACCGTTTGGAAATTGCATGTCGCTCTATAACTACCCGCTTGCTTCATAATGACGACGCGTCAAGGAGTTGTCGTTTTTAAACTACTGCTATTACTCCCATCTTTTAACTGCTTGCAACCGAAATTCTTGGATCGTGGAACGTGATAAGATTGCTCAATAACTACTTCAATAACCGTCGCTTTAAATAACAACAGGATGCTATGTTTGCTCATATCTTAGGCGTCTCGAATGCTTGGGCGATAATGAGACCGTCGCTCTGAGCGACAATAAGGTACTTCATTCGCTCTAATTTTGGGCATTCTGCAGGTTTTGGCGATGATAATCCTCTGTTTATAGGTCCCCACTATATTTTATATTGGTCTCATTTGGGCCTATCCCTCAAATTTCCTAACTGAGCTCCATTTCTTGGACCATTTAATGGGGCCTCATTTTTGTATGTCAACAGTAATTATGTCGAATTGAAATCCATCCATCAACTCAATTTAGGGTATGTTTGGGAGAGACCTCTTTGAAATCATTCCCAATCAAACATTTTATGGACATCATAATATTTCCATACTTTTTACACGCATTCTAAAAAAATTAATGCTTTCTCTTGAAAAATTCTCTTCCGAACAGATGCTTAATAACGTGTTGAACTGCGTTGGGCTCAAAAAGATTAATACCGAGTTAAGCACTGTGTTGTGTTGGCATATTTGCGGTTTGTCGTAATTGCATGTTATGCGCACATGAATGATTTCCGAAAGAAAATCGTCTCTGAAAACAAGTCGTGCATCGAAATGTCGGATTGTTTTAGCATGCGAAATAATAAAAGTGGGGCTACCTAACATATAAAGTCGTAAACTAATGATCTTACAGTTTGAAGAGAATAATTTGGTGACTGATATTCAAAATAAATGGTCGGTGATAATTTCTACTTTTTGTTAATTTTTTTCCCAATCAAAATAGTAATAAGACCCCTCTTGATTGATTCAATTGTGAAAGTGATGATCAAGAGTTGACACTTATCATATCATAGCACTCTTATTTTGCTTTAATAATTCACTTTTACTCAATAGGGATTTAATTTATCGTATCGTTTGACTAATTACTCGCACAATTTATTTAGCCCATTTTTTATAGGGAATAAAATCAATATTTTAATTTAAATTAAAATCAATAATTAATTTTAATTATATATTTCATATGACATAATTTTTCAAACATAAATTTCTTCAACTTTTATCAAAATCTAACAAAAATTGATTTTAATCCCCTCCAAACAAAGCTTAATTTTATGTCACGGGCAATTGAAAAATGTTTTTACATACTTTAACATTTGTGAGACGGTCGGCGATATATGTAGTGTGGGATTATGGAGTAAAATATACAAAATGTACAATTTTTACAATTTCGGTACGAAATTTTCTTTGATGGAATCTTAATGGACAAATAATGTTTTTTTCCACCAAGACGATAATTTTTGATGAAGTTGAAGAGGAGTTGAGTTTTGAGTCTCGTAGGAGACGTAGAAAGTAAGAAATTTCAGAGCTTGAAGATATTAGAAAGAGAGAAAAAAAGGTTCGGAATATATGTTTCTCGACAATATTCTTGAGAGTGGCAAATTTTTTGGAGGGAGAGATCAGATCACATGAAGGAGATAATGGAGATGATTAGAGTTCAACGATGGATTAAGATCTCAGAATGTTTGGAATAACTTTTCATCAATTTACTTCTTCAATTATGACTTCAAAAAATTAGAAAATTGATTAAAACTATAGTTATGATAGTACCCTTTTTTTTTTTAGCAATGCTAGATGTATATCGGGGTATACACCCCTCTCACACGAGTAAGGGGTCCACTTGAATATTTTATTCGAGAGAGCCCCTCGATGTGAGGTGATGTACACACTGATGTACATTTTTTGAAGTACATTTAGCATTTTTCAATAAATATATATCTTGTTAAACATATCTAACGTATT